AATGTCAGCATTCAATATACCCTCATCTCCTTGCTTTTGGTATGTCAGCTTTGGCCTCAACTGTTCCAGTTGACTGTGTGCAAAGATTTGTGTTTTATGCTCTCTAGAGACTGCTGGGAGATGGATCTAGGGATTCTGCTCCTTTCTTCCAGTCCCCTTTATTTTCCACACATAACCTCTTCACCCCTAGTCCCAGAGGTACTGGTCAATCGTTCCAAGTGTCTGTTAAGGACTCTGTGTTATAAATCAGCTTCCACACTGCTGTCTGAAAGTTGGCTGTCACGAGCCTGCTTTCCAGATTCCAAAATTTTGTTTGTGGTGTCTTCTCTCCTGTTCAGCCCGATCTCGTGACTTTACATCTTGTTAAAAAATCTTTCTACTGAGTTTTAAGTTGGGCTTCCAAACCCCATTGCCCCATTGCCATTGAGTCCATACAAGGTTGCAAAATTTGGAATGCATATTCAAACTCCCAATTCATTTTCCACAACAGTTTTGTAATTGAAGTAGTGCTGACAGTGACTATCATGGATTGAATTGTGTCCCCCGAAAATATCTGTCAACTTGGCTGGGTCATGATTCCCAGTATTGTATGATTGTGTACCATTTTGTAATCTGATGTGATTTCCTTATGTGTTGTAAACTCTATCACTATGATGTAATAAGGTGGATTAGCGGTAGTTATACTGATGAGGTCTACAAGATTAGATAGTGTCTTAAGCCAATCGCTTTTGAGATATGAAAGAGAGAAGTAAGCAGAGACACATGGGAACCTCATACCACCAAGAGCAGAGCGTGTCCTTTGGACCTGAGGTTCCTGCGCAGAGAAGCTCCCAGACCAAGGGAAAATTGATGACACAGACCTTCTTCCAGAGCCAACAGAGAAAGAGTTCTCCTGGAGCTGACGCCCTGAATTTGGACTTGTAACCTACTAGACTGTGAGAGAATAAATTTCTTTTTGTTAAAGCCATCCACTTGTGGTATTTATTTCTGTTAGAGCAGTACTAGATGACTTAGACAGTGACCATGTCAGTTGTGATACCAAGATATTTTTATGATGGGATTCCTTAAAAAAAAAAAAAAATTAATTAAACTTTTTATTTATTTATTTACTTTTATTGTGTTTTAGATGTAAGTTTACAGCACAGATTAGTTTCTCTTTAAACAATTAATACATATATTGTTTCATGACATTGGTTGCCAACCCTGCGATGTGTCAGCACTTTCCCTTTTTCAACCTTGACTTTCCCCTTTCCATTTGTACAGCTTTCTTGTCCCCTCCTGTCTTCTCGTCCTTGCCCCAGGCTGGTGTGCCCATTTAGTCTCGTATGCGTAGTTGAGCTATGTGTATTATAGTTTGTTGTATGGACCTGTCTGATCTTTGGCTGAAGGGTGAACCTCAGGGGTGACTTCAGTACTGCGTTAGCAGCGTGTCTGGGGGCCATGCTCTCGAGGTTTCTCCAGTCTCTGTCAGACCAGTAAGTCTGGTCTTTTTTTGTGAGTTTGAATTTTGTTCTACATTTTTCTCCTGCTGTCTAGGACCGTCTTTGGTGATCTCTGTCAGAACAGTCAGTGGAGGTAGCTGGGCACCATCTAATTATGCTTGCCTTAGTCTGGTGGAGGCTGTGGTAGTTGTGGTCCATTAGTCCTTTGGACTAATATTTTCCTTGTGTCTTTGATTTTCTTCATTCTCCATTGCCCGATGGTGTGGGACCAGTAGCCATGTCTTATATGGCTGCAAAAAAAATTTTTTTTAAGTTGTCATTGATTATAAACATAATTCATGTTCACTGTGGGAATGAAAATATAAAGAAGAAATAAAGCTGCTTGTCATTGTGGTAGGGTTCTTGGCAAGGATTTTTGGTGGTGGTGGTGGTGGTTTTGTGGTGCAGCTCTCAGCATGGCTGATGAGATGCTGCGGTGCTGGGCACAGCATGGTGGTGTTTGTAGAAGGACTGGCCAAGGTGGACACCTGGCGCTGTGCTGGGACTGTGGGCCCAGAGGCAGGCCACTCCATTGGCAGGATTGCTTGAGAGATGAGTGACACTTCTAAGGGCAGGTGGGAAGCACTGTGTCAAGGCTTGGGGCCAGGGCCACCAGATTGGGCCCCCTGGAGAATATGGCCTGCCCAGCTATAAACTGAGTGATTTTGGATGATGCTGGAGGATTCAGAGGGCCACTCACTGCCAGTGCTGGTCCATTGAATAACCCAAAGGAACCAGAGACTGACCCAGGCCAGCTGTGTTTTCTGTGAGGACAGTTTATGCAGCTCGGATGTCAGGGTCTTGGGCAGAGGAGGAGGAAAGAACATTTCCTATTCTTTCTTGGGTGTCTGCCCTCCGGTCAGCACCCTGTGATGTCCTGCTTTTCCCTGCTGCTTCCTTTCTTTCCTCTCTGGGAGCCAGAAGTTCTCTGAAAGTGGTTTTTTCTCACAGCGTGTCTGGTGGCACAGCTGTCCCCTGGGTGTTTCTAGGCCTCCGGGCAGAGTTGAGACAAGCATCTGGCAAAGGGTTCTCTGCCATTTGTGCCCTTATGCGCCTGGGTCTCCACGGCCTCCACTTTGGGACTCCTGAAGGTGTCCCAGCTACGCCTGCCCTGCGGGAGTTCGGCTGCTGCCTTCCCTCCCGTTTGCCCTTGGGGCCTCCACCAGGGCCTCTCCGGACTTGTTTTCTCATAGCAGCTTGGCCTCTCAGAGCTAGGAAAGGTCTTGTAGATCTATCCCAAGTAGTTCCAGCTAGTCCAACTCTCCTATTTTACTGATGAGGAAACTGAGGGCCAAACAAGCCCAGGTCAGGACTAGAACCCACGTCTGCTGACTCCATGATCAGTGCTCTTTCCAGCCAGGCTCTGCCTCTCCTAGCTTCTGTGGCCTTTTGTAAGTTTTGATTTGGGGGTGATTGAGATGTTTGAGTGGTAAAAACTCTTAATATACTTGAAAGGTTGGCAGTTCGAGTCCTCCTAGAGGTGCCTCGGAAGAAAAGCCTGACAATCTGCTGAAAAACCAGCCATTGAAAACCCTACGGGGCACAGTTCTACTCTGACACACGTGGGGTCTCCATGAGTCAGAATTGACTCAAGGGTAACTGTTTTTTGGGGGTTGTTTGTGGTAACATACGGGGAGTGGATTTAAGGAGGAATCCCCGGCTGATACTGGCAAGAAGTGAATAGACCTCCTGACCAGCATGTACTCTTGAGAGCAGTGCAGACTTAGGCATCACTGCTGATAGGGATTGGGGAACTGCCTTTGCCGCGTGGAGTTCTGGGTCAGACCAGTTCTCTGTTGGGCTCTCCAGAGTTGTTTCTGTGGGGTGGTGTAAGCTGGGGGACAAAGCTTCATAGAGAACCCCTCAGAGCTTTAGAGGCAGACATGTGCTTTTGCTTTGACATTAGAATAGAACAAGTCCTAATTTTTTGAGCCTCTGATTCAACTGTAAACTAGGAATAGTAGTAGTAGCTGCCCCAATGAGGCCTGCATGCCACATGGAGCTACTCTCTACTGCCATCTACTCAGGCGTATATTTGGGCAGCAAACTTATGGAGCCCAGCACTGTGCTCAGCTTAGAGGTGCAGGAAGTAAGATGCTTCACACCTGGGGTTCCCTTAGGCTCAGCTGTGGGCCACGTAGCCCTTTCAACTTGTTGGGTTAACAGCCCCCTCTGTCCTGGCTCCAAGAAGGGGCCTCCCAGCTCCTGCTCCCTCCCACCCCAACTCCCAGGGCAGAGCCGGGGAGGGGGCAGGGCACCTACCTCACAGGCAGTCAACCCCCTGGGGAAGGGGCTGGGCCTATGGGAGACCTGAGTCTGTGCTGTTAGGCTCCTGGTTTTCCAGGGAGCCCTAGCTGAGGGGGATGGGAGAAAAAGCTCAAGGAGCAGGAGCAGAACTGGGAACTGGAAGGGGAAGGGTATGGGTGGGCCCAGATCCAGCCTGCCTACCACTCTTCTCCTGCCCATCCCCTCGGGGTCTGGCACTCTGAGGCAGGGGCTTGGCTGGCTTTGCCTCCTGGGGCCGTGGTACGGGAGGACTGTCCCACTCGTTGGAAGGGGTTGAAGCAGCAACACCCCCACCCCCCGCTGAAGCATGGGCTTTATTATTCCACTGGCTTGAAGCCCCTACGTGGGACAGGGAGGGAGAAAAGCCCCCAAATCCAGCTGTGTGGGTTTGGAGGGCCCTCTCAGGCCCACCAGTCCCCATGGGGACTGGCTAATGGAGGGGGTGGGGGTTGAGTGTGTGGTTTCTTCCATCCAGGGCGTAGTTTTGAGAGGGTGGCACAAATCAGGCCCTCAGCCTGGTTGCAGCCTGAGTTCAGACCTCAGCTTCCTGCAGGCTCAGGCACAGGTCCTGAAGTGAAGTGACATTCATTTCACTACATCCTGTGACTGCTGCTCACTTCCTCCACGTGGTGGGGGTGTGGGGGTGTGGGGTGGGGTGAGGACAGATTAGAAGGAAAATATAGCTGCGCAGGGGACCTCTGGGGGTGGCTGGGATTTCCCAGGGGGCGGATGGGGTGGGAGGGAGGGTGCGGGAAGCTTTCGCAGGAAAAGAACAGACATGAAGAGGAGGAGGAGGCTCGGGAGGCGGCTGGAAGTCCCAGAGGTGGCGCCCACTGCGCCACAGCAGCGGGGAGGCCAAGGGAGACTTCTGCTGCCGCTGAGGCTGCTCAGAGGCAAGAGGCGGCAGAGGCGCCCTGAGGGCCCTTGCAGGGCCGTTTTCTCTGGGGTGCTGGGCTAGCGTGAGCTTGGGGCCGGTGAGGCTGGGAAGGGGAGTAGAGTCAGGGCAGCCAGGCCTGGGCCTGATGTGGCCCTGGGGCTGAGGGCCTAACCCAGGGAGAGGTGGGGTCCTGGCAGGGCCTGGGTTTGTGGGTACCCTGCCCTGCTGACCCCTCTTCTCTTCCCACACAGGTGGAGCCATTGGAAGGCCAAACCCACAGGCAGGCGGAGGCAGCATTTCACCAGAGGGCTCCGCACCCGAGGGCTCAGCACCGGCATCTATGTTTAAGTGTTAACTCTTGCTTAGAAAGACCACGATAATTCCTTTCCCAAAGCCCAGCAGCCCCCCAGCCCCGCGCAGCCCCAGCCTGCCTCCCACCGCCCAGCTGCCCGCAATGCCCTCCAGCGGCCCCGGGGACACCAGCAGCTCCGGTCCGGAGCGGGAGGAGGACCGCAAGGTGAGCAGCCTGCTCTGCCGGGGACCCGGGGAGGGGGAGGAACCTGCCCCTGGAATAGTGACAGCTCAGCTGTGTGAGCACTTCACTGCGTCCTCAGTCTTCTCAGCAACCCAGAGAGGCAGGTACTGTGAATGCCTTGTTTTGGTGGTGAGGAAACTGAGGCTTAGAGAGGTTAAATACCGGCCGCAGAATAGGACTATGAACCTGGGTAATCTGGCTCCAGAGCCCAAGCTTTTAACCACAGAGGCTCAAACCTGGGGTCTATGAATTGTGAGTTGTCGGTCTCCCAGAGAGTCCCAAAACCTGGATTCCTTTCCTCTTACTAGCTACGAGTCCTCAGTTGAGTCACTTTACCTCTCTGTTTTAGCTGCCTCTGTTTCCCCAGGGTTTTCAGTAGCCTCTGGGCAGCCAAAGACAAGACAGTCCGAGGACTATGGTAGACTTGAGTGCCAGCCTGAGGGCTTCCGCAAAGCATCCTGGCACCCTGCCTGTGCTCTGCTGGGTGATACTGCGTCAGCAGTGCCTCCCGGAGATGGGGATTTCCCTCCTTCCCCCACGCCCCGGGCTCCAAGCACACGTCACTGGTGATCCTTGATGTGGCTTCTGGCCATGGAGCTGGGGGCCTCCTTGTTCTCCGAGCCCCATGACGGGGGACCTCTGCACCCTCCTGCCCAACTCCAGGATGAGCCTTCATCAGTCAGAGAGAATGATATCAGACAGATAGGAACCCCTGCTGGATCCCAAAAGGGTGCCTGGGATGTTACCAAGCTGTGTCCACCTATAGGAAAAGCCATCCCTTTAGCCCAGCACTTGGACTCTGCTTCTCACTCTGTCAAAGGGAGTGATAAACCCACTGCTGCCCTTCCAAGGAAGCTGTTCTGGCCACGGCTCTTCCTGACACGTTGAATCTCCCTCTCGCTGCTCCCTCTCCCTGAGCAGGGAGCGGGGTGGTGATACTTAGTGGGGCCTGAGTGGGGCAAGGCAAGTTAGTGGGAGCAGCAGATTGTCCTTTGGGAACAAGGGTGGAAACCTGGGCACTAGGTGTGGGGTCCCTGAGCAGCTTTTTAGGCTAGCACCGCCCAGTCACCCCACCTGAAGACTGGAGCTCTGCTGACCACTCTGTGTGGCAACTCTGAGACCTCCTCTCTGTCTACCTCCCTCAAGCATGCTTAGCCCCTCCCAGGGCTTACTCATCCTTAGAGCATGTTTCCATTGTCTGGGTAGTTTCCATCCATTGTTCCATTTGGTCCTTGAGGACAACCTTTGAAATAAGTGAGGCAAGTAGAGATGGCCCTAGTTTACAGCTGAGGAAGCTGAGCCTAGAGGGGAGATGCCACTGTGGGACCACCTAGCTGGTCAGTGGGGGTCTAGATAAGAGCCTTTCTTACTGCCCCACCTGGTGTAGGGCCTGGAATGGACACACATGCACACACATTGGGTGTGCACAGGAAGCCCAGCCTGAACCCTGCAGAGAGCCACAGGGACTTGTGCACCCAGTCAGGCAGATGGGCAGAGCCAGCTGGGGAGGAAGCACACACCGTGGGCCCACCAGTCAGGGCTCCTGGGGGCTCTGGGTCAGTCCCCTTCTTGCTGACCCCACAGAAAGAGTGGCTAGTCCAGGTCATCCCAGGCCTTCTGCGCTTTTCCTGCCCAGGACTTAGCTTGCAGACGCAGACCCTGCAGCCACATGTGCTCTTAAGTGGCTGCTGTGGCCAGGGATAATCCCTTCCTCTCCCTGGGCAGGGGCTTCACACCTCTCTGGATCAGGGGACCCTGAGTCCCATCCGTCCACCCACCCCAGACCTGATGTCCTGTCTGATGCTGCCACAGCTCCCCGTCCTAGCACTTGCAGCTAGAGGCCAGCCTGCCCCCCAGCAGGTATGGATAGCTGTGCCATATCCTTCTGGCAACACTGGGGCTGGACTGTAGCCCCATGCTCTGTGCTGCCCTGGGCAGCAGAGCCCCTGGCCCCCACCTGTGGGGTGTGGCAGCTTATGCTCTCAATAGGACAGTTCAGGGAAGAGCACTGGACAAGGAGTCAGAGGTCCCAGGTTCCAGTCCCGAGTGTGCCGCTTACTGGAGATGTGACTTTAGGCCATCTGGGCCTGGGTTTGCTCAGCTGGAACATGGGGCTAGTAACTCTAGCTATGCCTGTTTTACAGGGTGCTTGTGGGAGTCAGATGAGGTCATGGACATGGAAGTGCCCTGCAGACAGCAAAGTCTGGTCCAATTATGAGGGATTACAATTGCTATTATTATCTACCCATAGTAACTGCTCTGGCTCAAGCGGCAACAAAAACATGCCCAGCACTAGATCCCGGTGCTGGTAGAGCGTGCACACTGCGCGTTGGTGGGGCCAGGCAGGCATGCTAAAAGATGGCAGTGACCTGGAGAGATGGGCTGGGGCACAGCTGGGTGCTTCTTCCAGCCGCCCATGTCCACAGCGTGCTTGTTGGCTCACCTGGCACACCTCTCTGGCACTTGGGCTGGTTCCACAGCTTCAGGGAGCTGCCCAGGGAGGGCAGCAGAGACACTGATGTCCACCCACACAGCACTGAAAGCCAGGCCTGGGGCAGCGGTGCTGCGGAGCTGTGGGCGGAGGACATGGGCTTGGTCTGCGGTGACCCGAGGAGTCGGGCAGAGTTGCCAGGAGCACCTGGTGCTGAGGAACAGTTTGGTGAGCCAGAGGGAAGGGCGTGACTGCCCACTGGCCGCTTCACAGCCTGGCCCTGGCTGTCCTTCCAGCCTCCTTCCCTGCCGCGGCCCCATGCACCTTACACTCCAGCCCTACCTGCTACTTCTTGGAACTGCCGTGCCTTTGTTTATGCTGTTCCCTCTGCCTGCTCTAAGGAGCCCTGGTGGCACAGTGGTTAAGAGCTCAGCTGCTAACCAAAGGTTGGCAATTCGAAACCAGCTGCTCTGTGAGAGAAAGATGTGCCTTGGAAACACCATGGGGCAGTTCTACTCTGTCCTGTAGGGTCGCTATGAGTCAGAAGAGTCAGAATCGACTCAACAGCAATGGGTTTGGTTGTTTTTTTTTTCTTTTTTTGGTTTTCTGCCTGCTATGCCCTTTCCCTAATTTTCTCTCCTTTGCTCTGGTCAAAGCCCTTGCTTCAGATTGCTTTGGATTACAGTTTGTAGCTGACTTGTCCTTTTCAAAATGTGGCTCCTGGACCAGCAGCATCAGCATCACTTATAAAGTGTTAGAAATGGCAAAAACTCAGCCTCATCCAAGACCTGCTAAATCAGAAACTCTGGGGATGGAGCCCGGCAATGTGCGTTTTAGCCAGACCTCTAGAGGATTCCGTTGAGAATTTTGAGAACCACTAATGTGAGTAACGTCTGGCTCCGTGGCTGCCCCTTTCTTCTATGTGAATTCCCAGGGCCTAGCATAGCCCTGGACACAAAGTAGGTGCTCAAGAAAATTTTTGCCCCCCAGTGTTAACTTTAGCTTTATTTTAATGTTACATAAGTATACACGCACATAAAACTAAACGTGTACCTTCTGCTTCTATGATAAAACCAAAACAAGTGTGTAAATTAAATACAGACAAAATTATAAGACTAATGAAATTCAAATGACCAACCTTAGCTTACAACAATGGGTAGTGTTGTTTTGCTGAAACTATATACCTGCTCAGAAGAGGAATGTGGCGCTGACTGCTTCAGAATGAGTTCCTTGGAATCTGGCATGTTCTTTAACCATTTATGATGACTTAGTTCTTCTGCCATCAAGAAATATTTTTTAGATAGGATAGGAAGGAAAATGAGAGTGGACAAGACCCCTCCATAGAACAACCCCAGACCCCGCTATCACGCAGGCAGTGTGCAGAGCTGTGGGTGATGGGCTGAGGCAGCCATGCTTGGGCTGGGGTTGGGCTGTGTCCCCCAGGCACCTGCCCAGCATTGCTTCTCTCTGCAGCCCCTCCCCCTGCATCCATACGGTAGGGGAGGAGGGGCGGGAGTTCGGTGGGGAGGCTGGGATGAAGCTGGCCTGAGGGCCCGAGCTCTGGGACTACGATCTGGGTGGGTAAGCGTGGCCACAGCAGGGGAAGGGGGAGCTGCCCTCTACTCCTGTGGAAGGGGGTGGGGAGGCGAGCAGTGAAGAGATCAAGAGCCTCAGTCCTGGCTCACAAAGGGGATCATGGCAGTGGGATGCCAGGCCCTGTACGAGGAGAAGGTGAGGGCTAGAGAGAGCAGGAAAGGCAATCGATAGCATCCCCAGCCTTGGGGCTGGAAGGCCTCCTCACATCACCAAATGAGAGGGAGAGCCTGGCCAGGAGTAGGCTGGACCCCAAACTTGCTGCTCCTCTCTCTCCGCTGACCTCAGAAACGTAATGGCCACGATGCGTTGAACGTTGACTGTCTGCTAGATGCTCTTTTCAGCTCTGTACATGCATTATCTTACTGAATTCTTATAATTGCTCAATAAGGTAGACACTGTTATTGTTGTACATAGGGTCACTATGAGTAGGAACCAGCTCGATGACACCTAACAATTATTTTCCTCATTCTCCCTTGTTAGGGACTAATCTGAAGCTCAGAGAGGTGAAGTCACTTGCCTGAGGTTACACCACTAGTGAGCGGTGGTCCTGGGATTTGAACCAGTTGCCTGTTCTGCTGGCTTCTGTGCTCTTCAAGCTGCCTCCTACGTGAAGGGGGCTGGGGGATGGATGGAATGGTGGCTCCTGGGCACAGTGCTCCATGTTCCTACCCACATTTTTCTTGCTGCAGTTTAAAGCATGTTGATTTAGGCTGCAAGTCAGGATGGTCAGAGAAGGACTGATGGCCTTTCTCTGTGTAACAGCTCTGGCCCTGGGTGGACGCTGGGGATGCTTGGTCTCCAGCAAGGGCTGCCGTGCACAAGCGTGTGTGTGTGATTGTGCACACACACCACAGGCACACACTCTTCCGCGCAGACACTGCTGTGGACACCCGGCTGCTTTCCTCCCTCCCTCTTTCTCTCCATCTTTCTCTAGATGTAGATGCCTTTCCAGGTG